AAATCTTTTAATGAGCATACATTTTTAACTTTCATGAGATCCCATTAATCTATTTTGTCTTCTATTTGTGCATTCGTTTTATGACTGTCATCTTTTTTATATAAAAAAAAATAATTTAGTGCCTTGAATTTTCTTGATATGTCTTTTCTATCCAAACTCTTGTTACTGTTGTTGTTAAGTACCACCAAGTCAGTTTAAACTCATACTGACCTTGTATAGAGTTTCCAAGGAGCAACTTGTGAGCTTGAACCACCAACCTTGTGGTTCCAAATGACTTTGCAGCCCAGCACATTAACCCACAACGCCATACCAGGACTTCAAAGTCTTCTGAATTTCCACCAAATGCTTGGGTGGGACCATATAAATAAGGTATACAGATCTCTAAGGCTGGTTTTGCCCTCCATATATGTTTAAAAGGAGACATCTCAGAACCAGAATTGGGAGATTCTAGAACCATCTAGAAGGAAGAGATGTGTGGAGCATGAGATTCCTATCTAGGAAAATGGCAACAGTAGAGGTAGTGGCATGGAGAAACAGAGCAGCTGTGGACTCTAAGTGCATGTACTGAGGCAGAGGCTACGGGGACACATGGTTGAGAGGTTGAAGACAAGAACAAGGCATGCCTGACTAGAGAACTTCTTTGTCCAGAGTTGGTTTTGATCCTAAATTGTTCCCTGTTCACTTCCCTAATAAATCCTATAATCATGGGTATTGCTACAAGTTCTGTGTAGTCATTGCAATGGATTATCAAACCCAGATATGAAACAGAGAATGCTTTGGGAGGAATAATTGGTGTCAGAATAGGGAAAAGAATGTTGTAAAGTGGAAGCATGTCTGACCTCTGCTTCATAGGAATTGGCCTTGGACTGATTTTGAGTTTAATTCTCTTCCCTTTGTAAAACCAGTGGAAGTCAGACATGTTCCCTACTTGGTTTTTCCAGTTAGGTATCATAGATTTTTCCCAATGTTTTCTTTCATTAATTGTATGGTTTTAAGTTTAAGATGTAGGTCTTTGGTCTGTTTTGAGTTAGCTTTTGTGTGAGGTATGGGTCCTGTTTCACTTTTCTGCAGGTGGATATCCAGGTTTGACAAGGCCATTTATTAAACAGACTCTCCCACTAAATGGATTTTGGCCCTTATTGAAAACTAGTTGTCCATAGATCATGGTGGTGGCTGTGTGCCGTGGAGTCAGAACCGATTCATAGCCACCCTGTACAGGGTTTCCAAGGTTGTAAATCTTTATAGGAACAGAAAGCCTCATCCTTCTCCCGTGGAACAGCCGGTAATTTCAAACTGCTGACCTTAAGGTTCTCAGCCCGATTCGTAACCACTATGCTACCAGAGCTCCTTAGTTGTCCGTAGATGGATGGATTTAATTCTGCGTTCTCAATTCTATTTCACTCGTTTATGAGTCTGTCATGGAACAAATACCAGTCTGTTTTGATAAGCATTGGACTACTAACCACAAGGCCTGTGGTTCAAACCCATCAGACACTCCTCAGAAGCCATATACAGGTCGCTGTGAGTTAGAATCAATTCGAAGGTGCTTAACAACAACAACAAAGTTTTTTTAATATCAGGGAGTGTGAGACCTCCTGCTTCTTTTTCTCCCATATTGCTTAAACTATTTAGGGTTTCATTCCTTTCCATATAAGGTAAGTCATTGTTATTGTTGTTGTCAGGTGCCATCGAGTCGTAACCGACTCATAGCGACCCCATGCACAGCAGAATGAAACAATGTCTGATCCTGGGCCAACCTCACTACTGCTGCCACACTTGACGCTATCAATGATGCCACCTGGCTGATCCATCTCGTTGGGGGTCTTCCTCTTTTTCTCTGACCCTCCACCTTACCCAGCATGACACCTTCTCCAGCGACTGTTCTCTCCGGACCAGAAGAGTTGTGGGAAGACCAGAAGAGTTGTGGGATGACATCAAGAACATCATACATGAAGAGAGTGAAAAGTCATTAAGAAGACAAGAAAGAAGGAAAAGGTCAAAATCGATGTCAAAGGAGACTCTGAAACTTGCTCTCCAGCGTAGAGAAGGTAAAGGTAAGTCATTAGTTCCCTCCAATTTAATAAAGAATGTTGTTAGAATTTGTATCTGGATTGCATTATATTCTGTAGATTGTTTTAGGTATTAACATTTTATAGAATGTTATTTTCATAATATAGTAAAAATTAATATTTTCACTATATAAAGTCTTACAATCCAAGAGCTCTGTATGTATTTCCATTTTTGTAGGTCTCTTTTAGTCTCTAAAGGAGCTCTGATAGTGTAGGGGTTATGAGTAGGACTGCTAACCTCAAGGTCAGCAGTTCAAAACTAACAGCCATTCCACAGGAGAAAGATGAAGCTTTCTGCTCCTGTGAAGATTTATATCCTCAGAAACTCTCTGCAGGGTCACTAGGAGTTGGAACCAACTCCACAGCACAGCACCCCCAACACCAGTAACGTTTTATCATTTCTGTCTGTATAAGTCTTTTATGACTCTGGTTAGGTTAATTTCTAATTATTTTATCAACTTGAGGGTTATTGTAAATGGTATTGTTTTCTTGATTTATTTTTCAGACTATTCTTTGTTAGTGTAGAGGAACCCAACTGATTTGCGAGTGTTGATCTTATACCTTGCAACACTGGTAATTCCTTCTGTTAGTTCCAGTAGTTTTCTTTGTGGAATCTTTAGTGTCTTCTATGTATAGGATCATGTCAACTGAAAAACCAGATAGTTTTACTTCCTCCTTTCTGATCTGGATAGTTTTTCTCTTTCTTGTCTTATTGCTTTAGCTAGGACTTCCAGTATGTTGGATTACAATGGTGACAATGGGCATCCTTGTGTTGGCTATTGATTTTGCATTGTTGATGTTAATTGCCATCAAGTTGGTTCTAACTCATAGTGACCCTGTATAGGGTTTCCGAGGAGTACTTGATGAGTTTGAACCACCAATCTTGTGGTTCAAATCAATCTTACGCATTAGCCCGCAGCACCACACCAGGACTACCAAGTTAATAAAATACTTATAAATTAACCCAACCAGGATACTAAAATACTTATTCAGAAAAGAGTTATAAAACACTACTGGTAGTTATGTGCCATGGAGTCATTTCTGACTCATAGCCTCATAGTATTTTGGAGGCTACAAATTTTTACAGGAGCAGAAAGCCTCATCTTTCTCCCATGGAACTGCTGATAGATTCAAACTGCTGACCCTGAGATTAGCGGCCCAACTTGTAACCACTACGCTACCAAAGCCCTTACTACAAGAGACTAAAAGAGACCTAGAAAAGTGGAAATACATATATATATGATTTTGCATATATGCCCCTGATTGTTTACAACTTTCCCTGTAATTCCTATTTTGCTGAGAGTTTTTCTTAGACTAGAGTGTTAAATTTTATAGAATATCTTCTCTGTATCAATGAATATTATCATACAATTCTTTTCCTTGGTTTTATTTATATAGTGATTACATTGATTGATTTTCTAATATTGAGCCATCCTTGTAATCTTGATATGCATATCACTTAATCATATTGTATGAATTTTTTTGTATGTGGCTGAAGTACGCTGGCTAGGATTTTGTTGAAAAGTTTTGCATCTATGTTCATAAGAGATATTGATCTCTAGTTTACTTTTTTGTGATCTCTTTGCCCTGATTTAAATACCAAGGTTATGGTTACTTCATAGAAAAAGTTCAGCGTGTTCCTTCTTCTTTTATGCTTTTGAAAAGATTGAGTAGAATTGGTATCAACTCTTCTCAGAATGCTTGGTAGAATTCTCCAATGTAATCATCTCATCCTTGGTTTTATTTGTGTCTTTAATGACATTTTCAATCACTTTTTTGTAATTGATCTATTTAAATTTTCTACCTCTGTATTAGTTTGGATAGATAATAAGTTTCTAGGAATTATTCCATTTCATCTAGGCTTTCAAATTTATTGGAGCACAGATTTTCATAGTAATATGTTGGGTTCTTTATATATATATGTTGGATCTGTTGTAATGTCACCAATGTAATTTCTTAATTTGGTTCTTTCTTGTTTCAGTTTTATGTGTTGTTATTTTCTTTTGTCAATCTAGCTAGTGGTTTGGCTATTTTATTGATTCTTTCAAAGCATCAACTTCTGATTTTGTTGATTCTTTCCATTATTTGATTTATTTTCTATTTCATTTCTTTCTGTCCTGATCTTTATTAGTATCTTTATTAGTAATTTTTTTTTGGTAGCTTTTGGCTTCGTTTGTTCTTTATTTCCTATTTGTTCAAGTTGCCAGTTGAAGTTAATGATTTTGGATCTTTCTTCTTTTTAAATGTATCATCTTTGGTTTTTATTCTGATTTTTCTGGTTTTGTTTGCATGTGACTGCTTTCTTATGGTTAGCCTTATTGCTCTCTTTTTTTTTCTTTTAATTTTGTGTGTGTGTGTTTGGTGGTTTTGTAGTGGTTACCACATATATTGCATTACACAACTTGAAATTTCAACTTTTAGCATTTGAACAACAACCGTAACTTAATAAATATATTCCTGACAATAAGACCTGATCAAGATTTCTGATTCTAGCATTCATAATATTGGTTCCACTATGTCAATGAACTAAATTTTAATTTCCAAATTTCTAACTACAGCACCTCCACTTACCTTATGTATGATCTTGGGCAATGAATCTTGCCAAATCCCAATTTCTTATTTGTAAAACAGAGCAAATAATAACATTTTGCAAGGAACTTTCATAGTCACTGTATCATTTGATGCATACAACAGACTTGTAAGATATGAATATCATACCCGATTTTCTGTTGAGGGAACCAAAATGATGAAACAACTATTTTATGGGTTGTTGCCATGAAGCAATGTATGTGAAAGGAGATCAGAAATTTGAGGTCAAGAAAGCTTCCTGACCTACCCCAAACTCTAATTGGGAGTACCAGACAATGACCAGTACCTCTGCCATTGTCTCCTTTGAAAGCTTTGCATTCACACTCTTTCATTCATCTATACCTGTCTGTGCACACACAAAACCTTCACATCGCACTTGACTTCGGCATGGTCTGCTGGTAGCACACTCTTCTGTTTCCTTGTCAGAGAAGCTGCATGGTTCCCCATAGAACTGAGATGGCCGGAGCAAGTAGACATGTCTGTACTGTAGCAGAGAGGTGCATGGTGAACCAAGGGCATCAAGACAGAAAGTGAAAGCAGAGAAAGCCTATTGTGGTGGGCTGAAATGCACCCATAATTCCCTTCCTACCAAAATGCTCATTTCCTAATCCCAGAACTTTACATAGCAAAGTGGACTTTGAAACTGCGATTCAATTAAGGATTTAGATATGTGGAGAATATCCTAGATTATCCAAGTGGATCCAGTGTAAACAAGAAACCATCAGAGCTAAGGATGTCCTATTTGAATGGGTCCTTGGGCTAGGATTTGAGTCCTGGGAAGAGCATTGTATTGTTTGATCTCTACACTCAGTCTCTGGTGCTTCCCCTATTATAGATAGTTATCAGTGTGTGTTGTGATTGGCTGGTTACCTTTTCACTGAGACTGTAACTTCTCTGAGGGCAAGGGCCTGTTTTTGATCTCTCTGTATCTATGTTGTTGTTATTGTTGTGTGCCGTGGAGTCAGTTCTGACTCATAGCAACCCTGCACAGGGTTTCCGAGGCTGTAAATCTTTATGGGAGCAAAAGCCTCATATTTCTCCCATGGAACAGCTGGTAGTTTTGAACTGCTGACCTTGCTGTTCGAAGCCTGATTCATAACCACTATGCTACCAGAGCTCCTTTCTCTCTATCTATCTATAGCAATCAGTAAAGGTTTGCTCAATGTGGAAAAAAAACCCATAGGATTTAGAGCAAGTCTGTGGGAATTTGCATGTTGCCCTTTCAATAATAAAATTATCTCTCTACTTGATTACTCAAATAGGTTGATTCAAGTACTTTCATGCACTCCTTAATGCAATGTACTTTTTTTAAAGCATGTACTTTGGAGGTACAATTGACTCTGGCATTTTCTAGTTATGTGATATTTGTTGTTGTTAAGTGCTGTCGAGTTGGTTTTGATGAATAGCGACCTTGTATATAGGGTCTCCAAGCAGCGACTGGTGAGTATGGACCACTGATCTTGTAGTTCAAACCGACCTTGCAGTCCAGTGCTTACCCTACAGGGCCGTGTTGTTGTTGTTAAGTGCCGTCGAGTCGGGTCCGACCCAGAGCGACCCTGTACAGGGTTTCCGAGTACAGGGCTACAAAAAGTTCATTAAACTTTTTGGATCTTAACTTACTCATCTAAGAAGTGGAGATAATGAATGATGTAAATATACAGTTATGGAGATTAAATCAGATAAATATAAAGAATGTAGAATATCTGTGTACCATAAACACTCAATTTCTTATGCTTGTCTTCTTTATTATTAGTGATTTTTTAGAAATCAATATTTATATACATGTGGCACTGTAGGATAAGCACTCGATCTCAAGGTCAGTTTCAACTGTAAGGTTGGTGGTTCAAATTTACCAACTTCTCTTAGGAGACCCTATACAGGGTCACTTTGAATCAGAACCAACTCGATGGCACGTAACAACAACTATTCTAAAAATATTGATTGATTGTGCCAATAGTGAAAAAGGTAGTGTTAATTTTGTTTATTGTTTAACCAAAATCATGTCCTCTAGCATTCCCCAAGAAGGTCACAGATATTAGAAGCATTAGGTACTAGGCAATCACAGCATTGTGAAAATAATCTCATAGGGCAATCCCTGGTGGAAATTTAAGAAATGGAGGAAAGATTCAGCAAGAAGTGACAGGTAAGCTGAGACCATAATATGAGCAGGAGTGTCAGTCAAACATGGAGAGACAGCAAGAGGAAGGTCAGGAAGAGCAAGTGGAGGAAATTGCTGAGCCAAAGCTAAGAGACCACAGAGAATGTGTTTTGTTTATGAAAACAAAAAGAAATGTATCATGGCTGAAAGAAAGAGTGCTGGAAGAGAGTGTCAGGACCTGGAGGGATACATAAGCAAGAGCAGGCAATATAGAACCCTCCAGACATTTGCAAAACTCAATTTTGTATTTCCCTCTGTGACTATGAGATGTCACCCAAGGCTAATATGCAGCGAAGAGAAGTGATCAGATTTGGGTGATTTCCAAATGCTAGGTGCAGTCAAAGGGGCAAACTAAAAAAGTAACCCCTTTGCAGAATGACAATTAACTGGTATAGTTATTACTGTCATTGCATCTTCACTTGTGACTTTGGAAATCCAAGGAAGAAATACAAATTATCATCCATTCATACTCCCTTGTGCTTCCAGAGGACGTTTATTCCTGTATGGCAGAACCTGGCAGGTCAGGGATAAGGTCTGAAAAAAGAAAAAGGAAAAAAAAAAACCCACAAAAAACTGCTGGAAACCTAGCCCCAGGCTCCAAAAATAAACTAGGTTTGAGGAGTATGAAAAGGATAAAGGAAATGCATCTCCCAGTATGAACTGAAAGATTTTGCTGAACCCCCAGCCAGTTACCCTGCAGAGAGCAATGATGTCCAGCTGATGTCTACAGCAAACTCTGGGTGAGGTGGGATGTCTGGCTGGCTGGCTGGATAACTCATGCTGAGTCTTCCTGGTTTATGGTGCAGATGAAGCAATTATCCAGGTAATTGGATCAATGTTGATAATTTCAGCAATAAAGCTTGCTTTAGGAACTGAATAATCCTACTTGGCGCTCTACATTGATCCAATTAACTGTGTAATTGTCCTGGGCCTACTTGCACAGATTCTTTAGAGTCCTAGTCCATGACTGGTTTGGTTTCCTAAGAAGCTTGGAGAAATGGCAACCATTCTGTTTCATCTGACACATCTGTTGTTCTTGGAGCTGGGATTCTGGTTCAGCCTTATGACAAGAAAGCTATAAGGACAAATATCATAGAAACTGTATGTTTTTGATGGCTAGAAAACTAAAAATAAACCAATGATCCATCAACAACAAAAATGCAGTTTCTAGACTCCTGCTTTACTCATCTGCCCAATGGAAAATGTAACAACTGTTCTGATTTCCTTTTAGAATTGTCCTATAAGTATAATAAAATAAAGCAACACATTTTTTGTGGAGCAACTACTACTGGCCTCCACACTGAAGATATAGAACTGAACATATCTTCAAGAGCTCACCGTTTAGTATAAAGGTAAATAATAAAACATAAGTGATGATAGTTGTAGGACATAGGGACAATATCCAGAGTCCTGGTGTGGTACCATCTATGGGTTATTTTGCTGGACTGAAAAGTCAGTTTGAACCACAAGGTCAGTAGTTCAAACTTATCAGCCCCTTCTTGGAAACACTATACAGGGTGGCTATGGGTTGCAATAGACTGGACAGCACTTAACAACAGCAACATGGGGATAATAGGAAGTTATAACAACCTAACAAAGGGTCCCTTATCTAACAGGAGATGGGACTGAGGAGAAGTCAAAGAAGACATCTCAGCAAAACTGGCCCCTAAATAGAGTTTAAAAATGGGAATAGGCATGAGCCTGGTGAAGGAAGTAGGAAACATCACTACTGCCTAAGAAACCAGCAGGTATAAAGGCCCAGAGGTGACAAAAAGAGTGAAATTATTTTATAAAATTGCAAAAGTACCAGTATGACTGGAGTGGGAAATGTTTTATGGATATGTAGACCAGGTCTAGATCATGGGAGATGCTTGAATATTATTAATCTGGATTTTATCTTATGGCAATGGTAGACTGAATGGTTTCAAACAGGGGAAAGACAGGTCAGGTTAAATTTTGTAATCACTCACCCTGGTGTATCATGAAAGATGGGTTGAAAGAGTGAAAGAGCAAGGTTAGAATCAAAACGTGTAATTAGGAAGCTCAAAAGTAAGCAAGAACAGAAGTGCTTTGGAAAAACCCTGAAAGACTAAAGAAATGTTCTAATTGCTACTAGGTAGCAGTGAGACAAATGATTGATTATATCAATTGATATTTATCAAGGGCCTACTATGTGCTGGGCATTGGAGACAATGTTTCAGCCAGCTCCTGGAAACATAGAATTTAGAGTCTTAGTACTTACTCTTTTCTTCTGGCAGGGATCACACGTGGTCCAGGAGGACCAGCTGGACAGTTCACAATCAATAGGCATCAGGGTGACATCCACACTGCGTGTCTGTCTGTTCAGGGAAAGACTCTCATTGATTGCATTTGACTCAAGAGAATGTGGTCTTTCACCTCTACAAAAATACCACGAGAGAAGAGAGTTGAGTATCAGAAATGAATTAACTATACATCTAATCATCTATCCATCCTTTATATGTATATTCTGTTGTTGCTAAGTGCTATAGAGTCAGTTGCAACTCTTAATGACCCTCTACAGGGTTTCCAAGGAGCAGCTCATGAGTTTGAACCACCAAACCTGTGATCAAACTGACTTTGCAGTCCAGAGCATTAACCCACAGAGCCACACCAGGATTCTATATATACAGAGTCCTAGTGTGGCACTGCGGGTTAATGTGCTGGACTACAAACTCAAAATTCAGTTGGACTTTGCAAAGTCAGCTCGAGAAGATAAAGTCAGATATTACAACAAAATGTGCAAAGATCTGAGTCAGAAAACCAAAAGGGAAAAACATGCTCAGCATTTCTCAAGCTGAGGGAACTGAAGGGAAAATTCAAGCCTCAACTTTTGTTATTAAAGGATTCTTTGGGAAATTATTGAATGATGCAGAAAGCATCAAAAGAAGATGGAAGGAATAAACAGAGTCACTGTACCAAAAGGAAATGGTTGGTTTTCAACTGTTTCAAGAGGTAGCATATAATCAAGAGCCAATGATATTGAAGGAGGAAGTACTAGGTGCATTGAAGGAATTGGCAAAGAACAAGGCACCAGGAATTGATAGAATGAAAATTGAAATCTTTCAAGAAAGTGAGGCAGCACAGGATGCACTCACTTATCTCTGTCAAGAAATTTGGAAGACAACTATCTGGCCAACTGATTGGAAGAGATCCATTCCAATTGTGCCCATTCCAAAGAGAGGTAATGACCCAATGGGATGTGACAATCATCAGACAATATCATTATTATTGCATGCAAGTAAAATCTTACTAAAGGTAATGCAGAAATAGCTGCAAGCATACATTGACAGAGAACTTTCAGGGGCTCAAGATGGATTCAGAAGAGGCTGTAGAATGAGGGATATCATTGTTGATGTCCGATGGATCTTGGCTGAAAGCAGAGAATATCAGAAAGATATTTACCTGTGCTTTCTTGACTACACAAAGGCTTTTGGTTGTGTGGATCATGATAAGCTATGGAAAACATTACAAAATATGAGTATTTTGGAACACTTAATTGTGCCCATGAGGTACATGGACCAAGAGGCAGTTGTTCTAATAGAACAAAGGAACACTGAATGGTTTTAAATTAAGAAGGTGTACAGCAGTGTTCTAATCTTTTACCACACTTATTCAACTTGTATGCTGAGCAAATAATCTGAGAAGCTGGGTTATATGAAGAAAAATGTGGCATAAGGATTGAAGAAAGACTCATTAACAACCTGTGATATGCAGATAATACACTTTGCTTGCTGAAAGTGAAGAGGACTTAGAATACATAGTCCTTTCTTGTCTTTTTAATGACAAGGTCAGTGGTTGAAATTCACCAGCACTCCTCTGAAACCCAGTACTCTTCAGAAACACAGTACAGGAACTGACTCAACAGCACTTAACAACAACAAATATATATATATATATATACTGAGAAGGAGAGAGAGAGAGTCCTGGTGTGGTGCCGTGAGTTAGTGCGCCAGACTGCATAGCTGTTTGACCTGCATGGTCGGCAGTTCAAGCTTACCAGCTGCTCCTCGGAAGCCCTATACAGGGTAGCTATGGGTCAGAATTGACTCGACACTTAACAACAACAACAAAAAATATATATATATATGCAGAGAGACATTGAGAGAATGTCAAAATGTCCTGGTGTGACACTGTAGGGTAAGCACTGTACAACTAACCATAAGGCTGTAGGTTCACACCCACCAGCCACTCTTTGGAAACCCTATACAAGATTTCTATGAGTTAGAATTAACTTGATGGCACACTACCTCCACAACAACAACAATAACAACCCTTCATACAATGCTGTCTGTGATAGAATAGTATCTATCCATCTACAAAGAAAATCAGTTAATACCGTTATTATTCAAATTTATATAGTAGTAGTAATAGTTAGGTGCCATCAAGTCAATATGGACTCATAGCAACCCTATGCACAACAGAATAAAACACTGCCCAGTCCTGGGCCAACCTCACAATCATATATATCTGCCTACAAGGAAGATCAGTTAATACAATTATTATTCAAATTCAAATGCCAGCCAACAAAGTCAGTGATGAAGCAATTGAAGAATTCTAATAATTCTTCAGTCTGAAATTGATCAAACATGCAATCAAGCTTCATTGATAATTACTGCTGATTGGAATGTAAAGTTTGGAAACAAAGAGGAAGGAAAAGTAGTCTTAGTGAAAACAATAACATTTCATCTTGTTTGATTCTTCTGCAAATGAAATTCCAGTTTTACCAGTATCATTTGTTACAGAGACAATCTCTTCCACATTTTATGTGTTTTGGTCCTTTGTCAAAAATCAGCAGACCATGTGTGATGAATTTACTTCTGGAGTCTCAGTTTGGTTCCATTTTTTCTATGTGCTTTTCATTCTATCAGTACCAGAAAGATGGAAACAGCCTAAATGTCCGTCATTAGTAGAGTGGATAAACAAAATTTGATACAACCAATGGAATAGTATACAACATTGGAGGATAATTAATGACAAATCTGTGAAACACATCATAGCATGGATAAACCTGAAAGACATTACAGTCAGTCATCAAAAGATAAATATTATATTAGGCCACTATTGTAAAAAGTCAAGAAAGGAATTACACACTTAAAAGAAACATTCTTTGGTGGTTACCAGAGGTAAGAGGGAAGGGGGAGTAATTCATTAATTAGAGAGTAGATACAAGTTAACTTGGATTATAAGGAAGGCAATATATAACAACTCGGATAAGATATGCTCACTTGGAATGGTCAACCATTCAAGATCAAAAGGGAAGCATTTACTTCAGGAAACAGTTCAGAAGGGATGGGAAGGAGAGTGGAATGGAAACAAGAATCACAGAGAGGAAGTGGGATAACTGATGTTGCATGGAGGGGATTTCAATCTATTGAAATGAAGTGTGGTTTGTTGAATGTGAAATGGATGATCTTCTCTGTAAACCTTCACTCAATTCACAATAATAAAGTTGTTTTTTTAAAATGGCACTGGAGATCACATGATAGAATTTAATATGACCAATGATTCATTCATTGCAAATACCTTTTCAACAACATAAACAGCAACTACACATGTGGAATACACAGGATGGAATACATACATGTGAAAAGATGATGGCAAAGTCAATATCAGCATCCAAAACAAGATCAGGGACTGACTATGGAACAGACCATAAATTGTTCATATACAGGTTTAGGCTGCAGCAGAAGACAATTAAAGCAAGTCCATGAGAGCTAAAAATACCACCTTGAGTATATCTCACCTTAATTGAGATCATCTCAAGAAGAGATTTGACACACTGAACGCTAATAACAAAAGACCAGAGAAGTTGTGGGTTGACATCAAGAACATTATCCATGAAGAAAGCAAAATATCATTAAAAAGACAAGAAAGAAAGAAAAAAACAAATTGAATATCAATAAGACTCTGAAACTTACTCTTGATTATAGAATACTTTAAATGAATGGAAGAAATGATGCAGTAAAAGAGCTGAACAGAAAATATCAAAGGACAGCACCTTGAGAAGACAAAGTTTTATAATGAAATGTGCAAAGACCAAAAGGGACTTACACACTCAGCAGCTCTCAAGCTGGGAAAAAAAAAAATGAGGCTTGAATTGCAATATTGAAGGATTCTATGGGAAAAATAAGAGTATGGTCATTCTGTAGGATAAGCACTGGAAGGCAAACCATATGTTGACAGTTCAAGCTCACCAGCTCCTCCACAAGAGAAAGGTAAGGCTCCCATAAAGATTTACAATTTTGGAAACCCTATGTAGGGTCACTGTGAGTCAGAATCGATTGGACTGCATTTAACAACAACAGCAGTATGGGCAAAAGATTGAATGATGCAGGAAGCATCAAAAGAAGATAGAGGGAATATACACTCACTGTATCAAAAAGCGTTAATCTACTTTGAACATTTCAAGAGGTAGCATATGATCAAAAACTGATGATATTGAAGAAAGACATCCAAGTTGCACTGGAGACATTAGAGAAAATCAAGGGTCCAGAAACTGATGGAATATTAACGGAAATGTTTCAACAAATGGATGCAGCATTTGAAGTACTCACTTACCTATGCCAACTTATTTGGAAGACAACTACCTGGTCAATGGACAGGAAGAAAGCCATATTTTTGCACATTCTAAAGAAAGGTTGCCCTAGAGAATGCCTAAATTATAGAACAATGTCATTAATATCACATGCAAGCCAAATTTTGTTGAAGATAATTAAAAACTTATTGAAGCATTATTTTGACAGGGGGCTGCCAGAAATTCAAGCCGGATTCATCTAAGGGCATAATGTAAGGGAATATCATTGCTGATATCAGATGGATCTTGGCTGAAAGTAAAGAATACCAGTAAAATGTTTACTTGTGCTTTATTGATTCTGCAAAGGCATTTGGCTGTGTGGATCATAACTATCTGTGGATAACATTGCCAATAATGGCAATTCCCGAACACTTAACTATGCTTTCATGTAACCTATACATAGACCTATTGTTGTTGTGTGCCATGGAGTTGGTTCCGACTCATAGCGACCCTGTACAGGGTTTCCGAGGCTATAAATCTTTATGGAAGCAGAACGCCTCATCTTTCTCCCACAGAACAGCGGTTCGCAGCCCAATTCGTAACCACTACACTACCAGAGCTTCTTATACATAGACCTAGAGGCAACGATTCAGACACCACAACAGGATACTGAGAGGTTTAAAATCAAGAGAGATGTGCAGCATGACTGTACGTTTTCACCATATTTATTCAATCTGTATGCTGAGCAAATAATCTGAGAAGCTATACTATATGAAGAAGAACATGGCATAAGGATTGGAGGAAGGGTCATTAACAACCTTAGATAGGCAGGTGGCATAATCTTGCTTGCTGGAAGTGAAGAGG